ATCAAGATGATGAGCAGAATAATAATAAAGTCATGGATGATGATGATAATCAAATCTGAATTCGATGTCAAAGTACATCAAGATTTTGATGACACTAATAGTATCAGAATCGTACAATCGATGTGATGGGGTCAAGGATGATAACTACATGATCATTATCATAAATCAAGAATGACAAGATCCGACCAAGACCACATCAATAGGATCAAGGACATCAAATGTCAACACAAAGCAAGGCACAAACCACAACATATTTGGAGTTCACTCAAAAAAGAGTCATTTTGGATTTTCTAAAATTCTTATCTTCATGCTAAAACCCTAGAAAAAAATAATAATAAATTCCATGTATTCCTTAAACATCAAATCTAGAGTGTAACAAAACAATAACTCTAAAAGATGATATTTATTAAGGAGCCCCTAGTTACATCTCCTTCTCTATTTATTTATTCAGCGGTTATTTGGTCTGCTAAAAAAGAAAAGCAAAGTAGTGGAAATGCGAGGGATTTCAAATTTTTAGTGTTTAGTTTGATGACAAAGAAATACATAGTAAAGTTTTAGTTTTTTTTTTCACTCTTTAATTTATTCTTTATGTATTGTAAACACACCCATTGTTTGCCGAATTCATTTTTCGTTGAATTCATTTTTCATCATAAGCTAATTGGGTCATCATCAGCCATCGTTGAGGTGTTGACCGTCAGCCTTCATTGAAATCGATATCACCAGGAGCAGATCCCCCTATTGCCAAAGGAGGGCAATTGTCCTCCTAAAAATATTTTAAAAAAAAATTCATTACATGAATATTTCGGTAATTTGTCCCCCCCTCCATCTTTTTTTTTTAACTCTTTGTTATAGGAGTCTTTAGGCAATTGCTCCCTCTAAAAAAAATTAAAATACTATGATCTTTAGATGATTGCCCCTTAGCAAAACTAAACACATTGTATATAGGTGTTATTTATAAGTTTGACTCTTCTAACAACTAAGTATGGGTCCGCCCCTGGATGTCGTCATCACCGACATCGATTGTCACCGTTGCCGCCACCAAATTCGACTACCAATATTATTAATTGCTGCCACCACCGACCATAGGTACAACCAACGGCAACACTACAAATTGCCGCCACCACCAACCACCACAATGATACTTTACATTAAATTCAGTCATTCATTTTACTTGAAACAAAGCAAAAAAAAAAAACTATTATCGTCTGCATCCTTTTTTGCACTCATTCAAACAATTTCAAACATATTATATTCCTTTTACATAACATTTTTCAATTTCAACAAATCAAGTAGCCTCTTAAAGAATTTGATTTTACACTTTCATTGAAGACTACTACAGCACATAGGATTGGATGAATGTGTTGATATATAGGATTGAAGTTTGATATATATATGTCACATCCTTTACTCACATCCAAATTAAGCTAGCCAGATAGATTAGATTGAACAATTTATTTTGATTAAGGCTTCATTTGAACAGCTTTCTTTATGCTTTTTAGTACAAATTTTTTAGTTCAAAAATTTTTGTACTAAAAAATTATTTTAAAAAGCAACAAGAAAGCCATCAAATCTTAATGTTTTTTAAAATAACATTCAAACACAAAAAAATTTAATTTAAAATATTTTTGTTCTAAAAAAAATATTTTAAAAAATAGTAAAAAAGTCTTCCCAAACAAAAGTTGCATAAAGTAGAATAAAAATTGGGCTAAATAAATTAAAAATTTGTTGCAAATGAAGGAATACGACAAAAGCTCTATTGTGCCTACAGACTTGTAGAAATTCACAAGAACACCACTCAAGCTCTCTGCAAGCGTAATGAAGGGGATCCCATCACCGACAGCACAAGCGAGGCCAATCATGGAAGAGAGAAAACCTTCACTTTCTTTCTCTGGGCAAAAAGAGACACTGAAAAAAATTCCAAAGGCAATAATTAAAAGTCCTTTTGTACCACTCACAATTTTTTTTAAATAGTGAGTGATAACTTTTAAAGTGTTCTTTTAAAATTATGCACTTTTATTTGAGCAGTAAAATCTAAGATTTCTTTTTGAGATAAATTTCTTACTGCTTTCTAAAAAAATTTTTAGTATAAAAATTACTTGAACTAAAATTTTTTGTACTAAAAAATTAAAAAAAAAAAATTATACTAGAAAGTTGGTTTTGAAAGCATCAAGAAAGTTGTCCCAATTAAAGCCTACAGCCTCATTTGAGATGGCTTTCTTATTGCTTCTTAGAATAATTTTTTAGTACAAAATTTTAATTTTTTTACTAAAAAAAATATTTTTAAGAAGCAATAAAAAAATCATCCCAAAAGAAACATAAATCTTACTCATATCTAAAGTCTCAAGAGAAAATAAAGATGGATGAGAAGGTGTTAGTTGTAAATTTTAAAAGGGCAAAACATTTTACCCAAAAATTAGGGAGGGGACAAAACTTTTGTACCATACACAGTTAGATGATTTAGAGATAAAATTACCTTAGTTCATATAACTACAAGAACTTCATTGCAAATCTAAGGGAGCAAGAAACAGCTTTTCATTTCACAAAAGCCAAAAACCATTAATATAAAGAAGAATTTGATGCATGGATTATGCCAATGTTACTCAAAAGAGAGCCAAGATCCAGCATGGTCATCTCAGCAAGCATGACAAATCTTTTTTTTTTTTGGACATTTAGGCCCTTTAAGTCAAACTCACACACACAACACATACACAAAGACTCGAACCTTGGACCTCTTAATTGGAAGCCTAAGTTCTCAACCAATAGGCCAAGGAGAGTTGTGTAGCATGACAAATCAACCACCGACGATTGAAAGCTACTGCTCTGCCGATTTCTCTGAATACTGTAATGTTAAATTGCTAATGGCCAAGTAATGAAGTTGCAGACAGATTACTTACCAGGAAGAGAAGGTAGATGAAGCATTTAAAGGAAAGTTGACGATGTAATCAGCTAGGTGATAATGAGATGTGACAGTGCGTAGACATTTATGATGCAGAAATGAGAAGGTAGAGCAAAACGGAGATCCAAATAAACTGCAAAACTAACGTTAGGAATCAACTTTCCATCCATAAACAATTTTCAGGAACATGTGAAAAGTCAACAAGTTAAATCGTATGTTAGGAATTGAATTTTGCAGTGATTCTCAGTTATGGGAGAAATTTTTCTGTGCGGACGTCGAACGCCGTCCGAAGACAGATCAGAATGAGCCACGTCAGTACCTAGGCTCGGTACCGCTCTGTACAGTGGTTCGATATCGCGCTCGGTATTGCTGACGTGGCTCATTCTAGTTGGTCTCTTAAAGTAGAGCTACATTCACCATCCGCACATAATAATTTCTCCAATTTTTGATGTTTAAGACAGTCGGCTACTATCTAGAATGCAAAGATTAATGCCTAGCCTTTTTTTTTGGTGGGGCAGTGATTGGCTGATGCTCGAGTAAGGCTTCGTTGGGGATGGCTTTCTCAGTTCTTCGTAAAGCAGCTTTCTATTACAAAAATTTAAAATTTTGAGCTAAAAAGTTGCTTTAAGAAGCATTAAAAAAGCCATCCCAAACAAAGATTAAATAACCATGTTGGTGGCACCAATTCATTTGGTAGCTTGACAAGTAGACAGGGGATGAAAGGTATAGTTCATATCATAATGAAGAACTGTACATTGGTTCTAAATGCCGGTGGAAGATTCAAAAGAGATCCAGTGATCTTGAAATCTAGGATCATTCAAAGCATACATTTTCGATGTACATGAGATTCGAGCCAAACATGAGATTCAAAGCATACATTTTCGATCTACAGAAAGGATTTATCTGGTAATCTTGTCCAGATTTTTGATGGGTCACAACTATTACAGAAATGTACCATGAGTGATTTTGATAGGAAACACTTGGGCTTCCAAGTGTTTCACACCAAGAACCAAGTAGATCTAGAGACACTGAAAAAAATTCCAAAGGCAATAATTAAAAGTCCTTTTGTACCACTCACAATTTTTTTTAAATAGTGACTGATAACTTTTAAAGTGTTATTTTAACTTATAATCATTAAAAAATAATAATTTTCTCCAAAATTATGCACTTTTATTTTAGTAGTAAAATCTAAGATTTCTTTTGAGATTGTTTTTTTATTGCTTTTTAAAATAAATTTTTAGTATAAAAATAACTTGAACTAAAATTTTTTTGTACTGAAAAATAAATTATACTAGAAAGTTGGTTTTGAAAGCATCAATAAAGTTGTCCCAATTAAAGCCTATGGCATCAATTGGGATGGCTATTTTATTGCTTCTTAAAATAATTTTTTAATACAAATTTTAAATTTTTTATTAAAAAATTATTTTAAGAAGTAATAAAAAAACCGCCCCAAATGAAACATAAATCTTACTCATATCTAAAGTCTCAAGAGTATGAGAAGGTGTTAGTAGTAAAATTTAAAAGGGCAAAACATTTTACCCAAAAATTACGGAGGGGACGAAACTTATGTATCATACACAGTTAGATGATTTAGAGATAAAATTTCCATAGATCATATAACTGCAAGAACTTCATTCCAAATCTAAGGGAGCAAGAAACAGCTTTTCATTTCACAAAAGCCAAAAACCATTAATAAAAAGAAGAATTTGATGCATGGATTATGCCAATGTTACTCAAAAGAGAGCCAAGATCCAGCATGGTCATCTCAGACAACCATGACAAATCAACCACCGACGATTGAAAGCTACTGCTCTGCGGATTTCTCTGAATACTGTAACGCTAATGCCCAAGTAATGAAGTTGCAGACAGATTACTTACCAGGAAGGGAAGGTAGATGAAGCATTTATAGGAAAGTTGACGATGCAATCAGCTAGCGGTGATAATGAGCTGTGACAGTGGGTAGACATTTATGATGCAGAAATGAGAAGGTAGAGCAAAACGGAGATCCAAATAAACTGCAAAACTAACGTTAGGAATCAATCAGGAACATGTGAAAAGTCAACAAGTTAAATCGTATGTTAGGAATTGAATTTTGCAGTGATTCTCAGTTATCGGAGAAATTATTCTGTGCGGAAGCCGAAGGAGACCAATCAGAATGAGCTACATTGGTAATGAGGCTCGATACCGCTCAATATTGCTGATGTGGCTCATTTTAGTTGGTCTCCGGATGTAGAGCTGCCTTCAGCGTCCACATAGAATAATTTCTCCAATTATTGATGTTTAAGACAGTCGGCTACTATCGAGAATGAAAAGATTAATGCCTTGCCTTTTTTTTTTTTGATGGGGCGAGTAAATAACCATGTTGGTGGCACCAATTCATTTGGTAGTTTGAACAAGTAGACGGAGAATGAAATGTATAGTTCATATCATAATGAAGAACTGTGGTTCTAAATGCCGGTGGAAGATTCAAAAGACATCCATGTGATTTTGAAATCTAGGATCATTCAAAGCATAGATTTTCCATGTACATGAGATTCGAGCCAAACAGCTACAGAAAGGATCTACCTGGTAATCTTGAGCATATTTTTGATGGGTCACAACTATTATAGAAATGTACCATGACTGATTTTTCAATTTTCCATCGTTTTATGCAGAAAATATGATTTTTTCATGATCATGAAACCATATTGAGGACTTCTGCTGTGCTTTTTCTACAAATATGGAAATTGTGATTTTCCTTTACTAGTGAAACGGAAAATTTTGAGTCGGGATATCTGAAGGCCTTGTTTGAGATGGCTTAATTTCGTCTTTTCAGTTTCAAAACAGCAGATTTTTTTTTTGTATGTGCCACTTTTGTAGAAATATTTTTTAGAAAACTATATTTTTGTACTGTTTTAAAACTTTCTTATATTAACTTCTTAGTTAAAAAACTCCGTTATCTCAAACATCAGTTTTAAAATTACCTTTTAAAAAAGATACAAAATAACCAAACGAAACCAAAATCTTCATCCAACCACAGCTTATCCTGGGCAATCCACACAAGAGAAACAACGACAATTCATTCAAATATAAAACGAGTGTTTCTCAGCAGTTACAGAAGATAAAATGCAATGATTTGGAGCTACATTATCCATAAAATAATACAAAATGACAAATATAATCAATAGAAATAAACTCGTACTTGTAATAAATTATTCTGTAACAGTATTAGGTTAATTCATCAAGGACTTGGTGAGCACACTAGTTAACAGGCGTATGTGGTTTTGACAGATTTTAGCCAGTGAAAAATCATCAAGAGATGAAGTATAACAACGTCAGATATATATATTTACCTCCATATACCTCCAAAGATCCAATATAAAGACCAGTAGTCGTCCATCCATATGCATACCAATCTGCACCGTACATCCGAAAGTGAATAATTTAACATGTCAGCACCTAATACATGAATGGAGGTAGAATAGGATATGTTGCAAGTGCACGCCTAAAGCAGCATCAATTCACTCAACTGCATCTAAATCTTTATTCAACCCAGCGTCAGACCCAAAACATGATTTATATCTCAGCCTAGAAAAGTATTAGAAATCTTTAGATTTATATCTCAGCTTAGAAAAGTATTAGTAATCTTTAAATTTTTTTATCATTAGAAGACTTCAGTAGTTCAGGACACTTAATTAGGGTTTGTTCAGCATGGCTGTGTCATTTTAATGTACTGAATAATGTGATGCTTTATAGACAAACTGTTGGGAATTCATAGGCGAAACCCCATATGTTTAAGGGTGTCACGACCCGGCCCGGAGGCTGGAATTAAAGAGGCAGAAACAGATAGTCGGATATTAGATTAAATTTATATTTGCTAAAACTATCTTAATAAACTTTGAAAGAGTCACTAAAACTTCAAATAAGAAAATAAGCTGATAAAAACTCATTTAATTACTTTTCATTTGGTGTCGCACGTCTACGGTATATATTTCCACCTCTTTTACTCATTTTGATTATATTAAAATTACCTGAAAGAAATGTTAGAGAAAATAACAGTAGCCGCAGCTTAGTGAATAAATATGTCTTTAAACCACAGTAACTCAAGACAATTTGAAAACAATATGCATGATATTTTAATTATATCAGTTCCTTTTGAGACTTTTTCATTTCATAACTTTCAATGTTAAGCATAAAACATATCTTTCATACATATCATATATGTATTCATATATTTCTCATTTCTCATAAATAATGCAGCCATCATAGGAGTCACTATCTAATTTAATACCAATGAAGATACTCATTTATCATTTCCTTTTTCTTTTTTCTTTCCCATAATCTTAATAGTTTCTTTGTTACATTTTAAATCTTTTTTAAATGTTATCTTTATCCCGATACATAGCTGTGTATTTTTGAAAATGTTATTTTTATCCTAATACATAACTGTGTATTGCTGTATACAAGCTTTGATACAATAATATTAATAATTTCTTTATTATTTTTGTTCATTTTAGGTTGTTTGGAGCTTGTATACAGCTGTGTATTAAAAAAAATTTTTGAAATTGTTGTTTTTATCCTAATACACAACTGCGTATTTCTTTTTTTTTTAAATGTTATTTTTATCCTAATATACAACTATGTATTACCGTGTATTGTTGTGTAAAAGCTTTGATACAATTAATAATTTCTTTATTATTTTTGTTCATTTTAAATCTTTTTGAGCTTGTACACAGGTATGTGTTAGGAATTTTTTTTTAAATTATTATTTTTATCCTAATACACAGTTGTGTATTTTTGTGTACAAGCTATGACATAACGATTTCAATAGTATCTTTGTTTTTTTATTCATTTTAAATTTTTTGAAGTTTGTACACAACTATGCATTTGAAATTTTTTTTCTGAAAATTTGTATTTATCCTAATACACAGTTGTGTATTGCTTACACCAAAAAGCTCAAACAGCCCAATAGCCGAATCTTATATAGCACAAATGAGTTATACCTTGCTCAATCATCAGTACTCTTGGAGCTTGATCCGTATCTATGGCATGGTCTTAGTATCTTCGACGGACCCAACAAGATCAAATGTGTTTTATAGAAAAAAATTATTATTGCAGTTTAATTTCCATGCAGCTCAGCTTCATACCCCATCAACTCCAACAGTAAGGCTAATCAGAACCCCAAATTATACCAATCAACACAAACTAGTAAACACTTCCTGAGCATGGATGAACATTTAAGTGGGGCAAGCCTCTTCAAGAGAATCCCTCTTCATCATTACAGCAACCTAGTTCCCGATCTCCAATCTACTAAAGCCAATATCTTTCTTGATTCCCTTATCCACCATGAAATTCCGTAGTTCTGCAAGCTCATCCCACATACCAACTCTGGCATACAAATTTGAGAGCTCTACATGCATTCCAACATTATCCTGATCCAACTGAATAGCCCTCTGAAAAGCAAGCTTGCCAATCTTGACATTTCCAGAATCACGGCAAGCACTTAGTATGGCACCCCAAGCACTAACAGCAAACATTATTCCGCCATTACCACTATCCTCTGATGCGATTTCATCAACAAATTCCCAGGCTTTCCCCAGTTCACCGGCCCGACAAAGCAAATCAACCACACAGCTATAATGTTCATGCCTCGGTGCCAGTTTGTATTCTTTCACCATTGATTCAAGGTAGAGAAGACCTTTCATGACATTGCCGGAGCGAGCACAGGCAGAGAGGACAGCTAACATCACAATCTCATCTGGCTCTGTCCCTTCAACCAACATCTCCTCAAATGTTGAGATTACTTCATCAAACAGCCCATTCCGGCCATAGGCATTCAACAGTGATGTCCAAAGCACAACATCTCTTCTTCCTTCCCCTGCCGCATGATCAAACATCCTAAAAACAAAGTGAACTTTGCCTACAAGGCCACACTTCCCATACATCTCAACTAAGGAACTTAACAAAAATACATCTTTCTCCACACCACTAATCCTACGAACTAAATGGGCATGGCATTGCATTCCTAGCCGACTAAAAGACATTTCTGCACAAATTCTGAGAACAGCAGAAATGGTACGATCATCTGGATCAAGCCTCAAGCTATAAAAGATCCGAAACAAAGACAAGCCTTCCATCCATAGTTTTTTTTCAACATAACCATTTAAAAGAGCATTCAAACAGACAGTATTTCTAACAGGAATTTCATCAAACACCTGGTGAGCACCTTGGATATCGTCCGTTCTGGAATAGAAATCGATAAGGGCACCACCCAGGAAAATGCTGGACATCTCTCCTGACTTCAAGGCATAAGCGTGAATCTGCTTGCCCAGGTTGAGGGCATTTGCTTGGGGCGACGAAGCAGCGGAGAGTGAGCTGCAGAGAGAATATGATTCGAGGGGTAGGGCAATGCGGTGCATAACGGAGAAGGCCTGGATGGCGATAACGGGAAATCCTTGGCGTGACAGAGCAGCGATGAGGGCGTTCCATGGGGTTACATCCCCGGCGGCGAAGAAAACGGAGTAGAGATGGCTGACAGGCAGATTCTTGTGAAGGAAACCGATTTTTGTTAGCTGGGCGAGGAGAGCTGAGGAGACTCCTAGGATTTTGGAGGAAGAATATTGGTCGAGGAGGCCAGAAAGAGATGAAAGAAGATACTGCACTGAGATGCGGGGCATCAAAGAATCCAATCTCTCTCCCTGAAAGAGCGGAGAAAATTATAGCATGACACATCAAAAATATCATTATTATTGTTTTGTTCTCAGATCATGATTATAAATTTTATTTGATCATTATTTCTTTGATGCTTTTAAAAAAAAAAATTTGTTGTAAGAAGTTGTTTTTTACAAAAAGTTTACAAATCATTAAGAAATTCATCCCATTCATCCCAAAAAAAAAATCTCATATAGTCATATGTACTCGCTTATAATTTTTTTTTCAAGTACTTGATAGTATATAATTTGTTCTTAACATACATATAATATACAACTATATAATTTTATCTTAAAGCATGTAGAGCTAGCTATGTATGATAAAATCCTTGATTACACTACTTATTGAGTTTTGATTGTGTTTGTAGTGTTTTGGGCTTCAACTTAAACTTGAGAACTATAATTATTGAGATCTTATATCATAGCATCATTGAACCTTTTCTCATATAAATTGTCTATAAATTTAACATTTTCTTCACTAGGATTTTATTTGGGACAACTTTCTTATTGCTTTCTAAAATAATTTTTTTGTATAAAAATTTTTAGAACTAGAAATTTATATACTAGAAAATTGCTTTAAAATTTAGTAAGAAAGTCATCACAAACGAAGCCTAAGTTAATCTTATGTGTTATTCACCTCCTCTCACCATTTGGTCTTGATGTTTCATCAAATAAGAATTGTTGGCTTTGACAAGCTCTATATGTTCTCAAACATGCTCTCCTTGCATAGTTTGTAAAGGCCAACAACAATATTGAAAATCTTAGCCTATTCTTCCAATCCTCATGAACCACCACATTTTATTAGTTTCCTTGCCACTATTAGTATCTTATTTCTCCTTTCTTGCAAATGATATGTTTATCAATATTAACTGTAAGGATATATGATATTTCAGCTCTTATAAAAGTTGCTGATTATAATTGTAGTGTGCTAGAATATATGCGGCGGTAGAGTTTGTTAATTCGCGTCCGAGCGTTGTACGAGTATTCAGCACACAAACAAAAAAGAGAAATGAACACCAAGGTTTTTACGTGGAAAACCCGAAAGAGGGAAAAAACCACGAGGCCTCGCCCAGTTGTAAAGTTCCACTAGTATTTGTTTGAAGTACAAAGGTTGATCCGTCTTACAAATCAAGACGACCAATTTACAATCAACTTCTCACAAAGTTACAAAGTTCTGCAAATTCCCGGCGTTTCCCGAAAATCCGGCAGAGTTCCGGCGTCTTCAGGCGGCGGGAAGAGCTCTGGCGGTGGTCGAGGAGGAGCTTCTTCCTTCTCTTCCTTCTTTTCTTCTTCTTCTCTCTCTTCCCTTGAGTCCCCTTTGTGAAGAATGAGGGCTCTATTTATAGTTTTTCTGGAGTGGCATGGCTTGTAAATAGGTGTGAGATCATGGGCGAATAGGGAGTGGTTTGAATGGACGGCCGATATTGAACTCTTCGATTGTGCACCATTCGTTGGACATTTGGAGGTCTTAATGATGTCGGAATTCAGCGATCTTGGGCTCGTTGGATTCTTCTCGTCGATCCGCTCGATTCGAGTATAAGCTCGTTAAAATCGGAGACCGTTTGGTAACTCAAATTGTGGTTTGAACCTTCCAACAGCGCTTCGGGTCCTTGATTTGGACCCATTTGCGCTCGGATTGGGTTGAATTTGTTGTCGTTGGGTTCGTATTTCCGAGACGCTCAGTTTGACTATAAGCTCGCTGAAATCGGAGTTCATATGCTCCTGAACTTAATCTTTGAAGTTTCCAAATAACTTTTTGCCTCGAGATTCGTGCCCGATCAAGATAAATTTGTGATGACGTATCAATAATATTAATTGGGTTCATAATCTAGCAACTAAATAATATCATAATCAAATCTCATCATTTGGGGTGATTTTAAATATTAAACATAAGTTGATATTATTGACATGTCTTGGAATTTATCAAAGTATTACTATATATGGTATAATATATTTAAAATCATGTATAATAACTATCTTCACTATTCATTATTATGAAATTCTCACATTGTTGAGGAGATTTTCTTCAATTAATATTCTTTTATTGCTCTTTTTTTTTTTTGCTTCTAAATAGACTTTATAAGTACACTCGTCGTGTGGTAGAAAATTAGTGACATTAGAGAGAGTTCTTTGTCCTAGTATTGCATGAAGATCTCACATAAACAAATAAAAAGAGCATGGGAGACGCTCATTTTCACATAAAAAACTCGGGTACGGGAAAAATCACGGGGACCAACTTGCTAAGATAATTTCATGATGCAATCATTGTTTACAAATATTTGTTTGTCCTCCAAACTAGAGAAGACGGTATTACAAACATATTTATGGTTGGCATAAAATTTTGCAAAGTCAATAGAGGATGAGAGGTGTTTGTATGGATTTGGCCAAGTGACAATGGTTTGCAATGTTGGTCGGGAGGTCGTAGTCTAATGATGGAGGTCGGGTGACAATGGTCTAATAGCGATGGTCCAGCGATGGTGCTAGTTTAATGATGGTGGTTGGGTGGTGATGATTTGACAATGGTGGTCGTGTGGTGATGATCTAACCATGGTGATCAACTGGTGATGGTGCTAGTCTGATCTTGATGGTTGGGCAATGACAGTCTAATAATGGTGGTTTGGTATAGGCAATCAGATGGCGATGGTATGATGGCTGTCATTGGGAAATGATAGTCTAATGATAGTGGTCTCCAACAATGGCAATAGTTTGATGATAGTTGCCGAGGGCAGTGGTCTATTGACAGCAATCTGGCGAAGATAGTGGTCTAACGATGATGGTCTAACTGTAGTGGTGGTTCAATGATGGTTGTATGGAGGTAGCAGTATGATTATAGTGGTTTGGTGGAGCAATACAATGACAGTGTTCAACAATGTCGACATTGGTTTAACGATGATGTTATTGGTGGAAATCCAGCAATGGTGGTCTTATAACAGCGGTTGAGAGATAAAGTTTGACGACAGTGGTTGGGTAGCTACAATCTGACGATGGTGTTCTAACAACGGAGGTCTGGCGACAATGATCCAATAGCGATATTTAAGTGGATGGTCTAATGGCAGCGATGAGGCAGTGGTCTGAAGATGGTGATCTAACAAATATGGTACAATAGTGATGCTCAAGTAAAGCTTTATGATTCATTAAATCTCTACGGTCTCTTAAATCTCAAGCGAAGGGGGAGCTCTTCATGTAGAGATGTAGGTCTATATATGAATTTTAAAAGTAGTTGACTCAAACATGTTGCCAAAATTCAGAACACTACATCAAACGAAAACTATTAATTCCTTGATCATAGATTATTCTTTTTCGTATTTAAGTGCCTTGATAATATCATAATTAAGTGAGCTTGAGCTTGTTGAATTTGTATTGTTGAAAAGCTTGACTCAACCATAAGCGTGTAAAACTCGGAGATCATTTGATCCTCCAATTAATATTTCAAAATTTTCAACTATGCATTAAATATTTGATTTATGCTAGAATCGCATCACTTTTTTTTGCCATTGGGTTCATCTCATCGAGCTGATCAATTTGACAATAAGTATTCTAAAATTGGAGTTTGGATAGTCTAGAGATAAATTTTGAATGCTTACTACTTCAAAAGACTCATATCCAATGAAGGTAATTTTTATGTGACCTATCAACACTATTCATTGTTGGGATGTAAGAGTGACAAGGCCATTATATTTATGTTGTTCTCTTTTTGTGCATGTATTCTAATATATTTTATTTTACTAGGTGAAGTTATAATCTCTCTCTCTCTCTCTCTCATCTAATAAAATTCTCTATTTACATATTTTTGTGCTAAAATGTCTTTAAGAAGCAGGAAGAAAGCCATCCCAAACGAAGCCTTAATCTAAGTCAATTCTCTTCTAAAAGCAAGCAAAGAGTGAAATTTCATCCATTAATCTTTATAGACATTCGAACATCATTAACCATTGGTTCCTTAAAGCACCAAAGAATTTCAACTTCATTTGCCATAAAAAATCGGCCATTACAAAGTTAATTAGGCAGCAGAAAAGGGGGGAAATCATGATAAATTAAAGATTAAAAAAAGAGTGGGGCATATGACATGGAAGAAATGTTAATTCTTCAATGCTTTCAGCCTGAGAATAATACAGCTAACACAGCCATGTGAAGTGGGCTCCTAAAGCATGGAGTAGAGAACTTTTATGAAATTGGTATATAAAAGGACGTTGAGAGAGATAACAGTGTAAGCCAAATGATATATTGTTATGTAGAGTATGATGGATAGCATCACTTTATATTTTCAAGTGCTACAAATCTTTTATTTTTTTTTTATTGAGTGTGAAAGCCCTCGATCAAATATGACGAGTTTCAATAAATGAATTCATATCTGGATTCGGGCTACGGGTGTCAATTCGGGTCAACGGGTCGGGTTCGGGTCAAACCCGGCACTATTCGGGTCAACCCAAACCCGACCCATTTTTAAAAGCGGGTCAGGTTTCCGGACCCGAACCCGATTAGATTCGAGTCTAGGTCAACCCGACCCGACATGAATGACTCAAAGTTGACCTAAAATTGCTAGTTTTTGGGTCAATCTTTGATTTTCGGGTCAAAATGGGCCAATCTTGGATTTTCGGGTTGCTGGGTCACCCGAACCTGATCCGATTTTTAAAACAAGTTGATTTGTTGAACTCGAACCCGACCCGTTTCGGGTCTGGGTTGACCCTATAACCCAAATTTTTCCAGATCGGGTTCTGGTCGTGTCAAAAATTGACACCCTTAATTCGGGTTGATCAGTTTACTAAATTGATCGGGTTCGGATTTGGAATTCAAATATGTTTATTAGATAGATCGGGTTCAGGTTGACCAGTGAATCTGCTTTTGCTTGAGGGTACGATCCTCTTGTGTTTGATCAAACAACATAAACTTTATAGTTATAAGTTCGGGCCTTTCGGGTTGCTAGTGAGTCATGTTCAAGTTCCTCTTTTTAGCACATTTATTTAACGGATTAGATTAGGGTGGGGACAATTTTGTTCCAGACCTGAAATTGACACATTAA